GACCAACAAGCAAAATCTGTCAAGCTTAAGTAATGTAGCTTGCTCACATCGGTACTGTCATGACTGTGCCATTATGGAGTTACTCGTGAAACCTACCAATCGGATTACGGAGGGGGAAGACTCAGGCATGAGAATCTTCCTGTTTAAACAGGAAGTCCTGGTTTTTCTTGCCCAAATTTCTGCGTTTTTATTTATTTTGAACCTGTTTAGGGCTACTTTGCCTGATTTCACATATCTTTTCCTGTTTTTGCACAACTTTTTTGTTTTCATTGAAATTCATTCTCATGCCTGAACTCTTCATTTAATGCAAAGCAACCAATGAGCTCTAGAAATTGCTTAGAATGTCGTAACCCTCCCTCTCTTCATAAGATCAAGTTCCCAGTTTAATGTCCAACTTTCCAAGTGATCCATTCTAACGTTGCTTTTTTTCTTTTACGACGCTTTTTTTTTTGTCCCAGGATAAAGCACGGCTCGTTTACTGGTTGCTCTTAATGGCAATTTATCATCTGCCTGACGTGCTTGTCCTAATTAAACCCTCTAGATCTCTATCGATGCATAGCATTTGAACAAAAAACGTCCCTACTCCGTGCACTCCTAAAAGCATGGTTGGCTTGCTGTTGGATGGTTGAATTATGTTTCACGTCTCAGCTCTTTCCAAATGACGCACATTGTTGGCCACTTTGACTTGCGGTTGATGTTTAAAGGGAATGTACAACATTTGCAAACATCAAAAAATGTGCGGACATTTTCAAGAAAAGCTGTATTTTTCCAACACTGGTCGGCCGACCAGTATTGGAGAAAACTGGCTTTTTTTCAAAAACTGTTCTTAATTTTTCATATTTAGTTATTCTGACTTTTCTTTGCAATTCATTACACACCTGTGAAGGGGTACAAGCCTGCTTGGCCCTGCTAGACTGATTCTCTGACCTTACAATTCCCATTGCTCCGTTTCATCTTAAGTAACCAGACTACATCTTAGGTAACCAGACTACAAGAATACGATAGGTTTTCTTGGTTTTTCCAGCATCTACAAGCCCAAAACGTGAAACAATATTTTCTATAACATACCAATCCTCCAAATCCATTTATTTCTAAAAGTTTTTAGTTAGTATGTTTGCTTTTTGTTTAAATTAATATTTGGTAGTCATATTTTGTAGGAAACTTTGTAGGAAAGGGGGCTTATTTTGGTCAATTTTGTGGTCAATTTTCCGGGGACAGACCGACCGAAAACCAAGTGACATGTAAACCAATTGTTACATGTTGCTGCTACAAGCTTTTAATGAACGCTGTCAAATACCACTGATCTATGCTACATTCAGCAGCAAAAGCATTACTATAAGTTATCCCGCGAGCGTGAGTGGAACACGGAATAATGTAGTGTGTCTGTGTATGTGGGACACAGACGCACTACATTTTCCGTGTTCCACGAACGTGAGCATGATAACAAGTTTATCTTCAAGCAAACTTGCCGCACAGTAAAGATGGAACACGCACGTTGTACACAAACTTTTCAGCGGTTATCCTATTGCATGTATCCTATCGTGTTATACGGAATGGTGCTCACATCTTAAAAAAGCGCAATACGCGGAGTGCGGTATGGACTTACATGTAGGCCGTGCTACATGGTTATATGTAGCATGGCTTGTTGTCATGGATCGACCAATATCGAGGATTCAATATCGATCAGTATCGAGGATTCAAGTTTACTTGAAGATAAATACATGTAACATATGCATGTGCACAGCCATCATTCAGCCATCATTTTAATAATGTGTAAATGAAAGCTCAAAAATATTTGATAAAACTGCTTTACTTTTATCGAACTGTCGAGGCTCTGTAAAACAACCTCAAATTTTAAATCTAGGCAAATTTAATTAACAAATATGTGCGTAAAATTGTAATACACGAGTCTAAATATTTACATTTTGTAAGCATTAATTATACTGTGGAACGTGTGACCTTATATTGTACTTAGATGCACTGCTCTGGCATATTCCAGTTCATCCTTTCATAAAGCCTCAGTTGACCTTATTTTGTTTTTTACAGTAATTCAAAAAATCACTTCTTTTGTGATGAAGAAATGTTACATACAGTATTACAAACATGTACAGTAGCTGATAGATACATGTGAACAAAACGTTGCAGAACGGAAAGCAAGTTTAGAGCAGTGTTTGAAGTCCAGATGTACCGCTTTCACAGCTGGTCCTCTTTGTTGGCATATTTTTTTTCAAGCAAATAAATTGGCCCGGCAACAGATATCAAGGAACACCCACAAGGAATAATATTTACAGGATTATATTGAAATTTAACATTTGTGTAAAAATGACCTTATAGTAATAATGTAATGGTCCTTATTGATTATTCATTCATTAACCCACTAGTAACCACATTTGGCAAGATGGGGCAGAATTGCAGCTACAAATGGCCAGCATATGTACATACGTGTAGATGTACCTGTATTCAATTGTCTGTTTTTAGCAGTATATGAAAAGTTAATGTTTTTTTAATCTTACAGTTTAGTTAAAGTAACATATTTTTACAAATGTACATGTTTTTGGATGATGGTTGAGCGATGTTTCCACTTAAAAAGTAGAAATCACACAATTGCCTTAACCTCAGCATGCTTTTGCCATACTGTATGGCATTGTACATGCAGACTAAAGTGACTAATAAAGGGTTGATTTTAGACACTTTAACTTTATAGTTATTAATTCTCAAATCTGTCAGCAGGAAAAAATCACATGTTTAAAATAAACAGGATGATTAAAAAATTCAAGCATGACAATGTTCACCATGTGAACGGTGTTTACAAGTGGAGGGTTTTTACATACATGTACCGTATGATACAATTTCTTTGTGCACTTTCATGTCTTCCTCCGCCAAACCTTGTAGCAAACTATGTCATTTTTTATCTATCTGCAAATTGTGCCATTACTCCACCTTGTCAGGAATAATTTAGACTCCCGGTTAAAAAACAAATTTCAGACCTAATTCCGGAGATGCATTTTGGCAGATGGAACCAAAAAAAAAATGGTTCAGTTGTTAGTCATTGGTTGAAGCCCCAGTTTGCCAATGCTTGATAATCTTTTCTGCCCTATTAAAAAGTCCTTGACATTTAAAATCTAGATTGCGGTAATCATGGTAATGGTGATTGATGAACGTAATACAAAGATACATGTACATAAGTCATATTTCATTAGGATACATGTACATCACTATATGGAGTCGTATTTCTTTGGCATTTGTTACCATAGCGATCAATCAAGGAAGGGAAATATGATTAAAGTTGTATTGGGTAGTCTGCGTCTTTGAAAGTTCACTTCTTTTTTAACATAAACGTACATGTATCGATACAGTGAAGAACGTTGACAAACTGAAATTACATGTACATGATGAAGAAGCAGCTACTTTGCTGATAGTTTTTTAATAAGGAGATAATAGTGTAATTGAGCAGTTGAAAATGTGTGGTTTAAAAGTGGCCGCTTGTACCAGGCCCCTAACTGGTTTAAAACATCCCGTTTATAATTGCAAATGTACATCATTCATAAATACTTTTTTTTTAAACAATAACTACAAAAAAAGTCAAATTGACACAATTCCAAAGATTTTTGCTCTACCATTTTAATCAACTATGCACGCCGTGATGCGGCAATGGCAGATCCGGAAAAAAAATGCAAAAAAAAGCAGCCATTGCATACTCCACCCACAAAACTAAACGAAAGCAATACATTTGTACCATCCTCCCCCCCCCCCTCACCTTTGTTGTTCATATTAAATTTTTCAGGAACCAAATTTGTTTTGCCCCCCCCCCAAAAGAATTTGTGTTCTGGATCCTGCCTTGGTGTGTGGTATGTTCAACCTCTCCTTATAGGGAGATCGCATCAGTGGCTCTCAAGCCGGCGGAGCGCGCGGCATGTACTGCATGCATTTGGCCCAGAGCGCGGTTAATTGCGACTGGTTTTAAACATTGCTGTTTAAGCACTGAGCAGGGTTTAAACACTGGTATGAAAGCACCAACGTGACGGGCTCTCATCCAGTAGGAAATGGTAAACTGTCTCAGGTATTTATGAATGATGTACTGAAGTCCCTGCTGTAATCAACATGCGTACCGGTACTCACAAATGATTTACTTTTCTTTTAAAAGAAATGCCGGAGAGGGGGAAAAAACCTTTCAAAAAAATCTGTTTCATGTTCATGTACATGTACAAGTACTTGAGGCTTTGTAACACTCTGCAAAATAAAAGTGGTTTGAAATATATCACATTCACACTAAAATGCATACATGACATCATCCTGGCATGCAAAATGCACCTGTCGTTAGAGATGCAGTGTATCACAAAGTTGTTAAAAATTAAACATTATTGGATTTTTTTAGAAGAGTATACAAAACTACAAATTGGTTTATAATAGCACAGCTGTTGAAAATCTAAATCGCAGAAATATAATTAATTAAATGGAAATGCCGTGCCCTACCGTTTGTACTTTTTTGAAAAGAACTAATAAGGCCAAAAAAAAAAAGTCTCCGGTTTCTGGTATGCGCGCGCGTCGCCGTAGCCATGCGCGTCGGCAAAATGAAAACGTTTTTTTTTCAATGAAAGATGATGTCTCAAAACCGCCAAACTCACTGGTTTGACAGGAATCCTGCTGCTGCACAACTTTAACGTGTTTTTAGATTGGGTTATGGTCGAGAATAAGCTTTATGTGGCCTCTCTGGACTCCCATCTATTTGCACTAAGTTTAGTCGAGCACCATTTGCAGTCATCAGCCGACATTTCAATGATTTGAAGCAAAAAAATCAGGTAAAAAAAAAAAAAAAGCCGCGTCGCCGCACCACTTTTTGGGCAAGCTCCATACCAGAAACCAGAGACTTTTTTTTTTGGCCTAATGGACTCTGTGTGATTATAATCATTGAAATTCAGAAGAAAACGAACTTAGAAAACCCATGGAAAGAAATCATTATCATTGTTATATTTTATTTTTTTTTAAATTTGTGTGGACAGGTTTCTAGTGCATGGATCGGTAGCGGTGTGGCCCATGATCTGAACGACCTACGGCGAGTCCATCAGCTCTTGGTCTCCTCGCTCGCCAAGCTGCAGGTGGGGAAGGGCGCCCCCGCTCAGATTTACAGCGAGAGCGCTTCCACCATGGAGAAACTGGCCGTCATCAAGGCCTGGGCAGAGGTAAAGTTAACAAATTATGTTGGTTAATGACAACCATTTTATACTGGCATATCAAACCTCCAACGTAATTCCCATCTTTTGTTTGCCGCAACTTTTACCACAGACTAATCTGGGCACTTAAACTCTTTACCGGGGTTGACCTTAACTTTTTTTTCACTAGCTAGTCGGGTTACTGAAACAGAGTCTTAACTAACCTGCGGGTGTTTTCAATAGTCCGCATGTTTTTCTGCTATAGAGTGTCTCATAAACAATAAGGTGCATACATGTAAAACGTGTATCCTGAGGCAATCTTGTCAGTGTTTTCAATAAACAGATCTAATAATTTCACCTTAACAGTTAACAATATTAGACACAAATTGATACAGGTTTGCTTTCTGAATTTAATGATTTATTTTTTCCTGTGTGTTCATCTTTGCCGTATCCCAATAATTTTTTGACTTGCCAGCCGGGCTACTTAAGGAATAGTTTGACTAGCCCACCACTGTTTTGACTAGCATTTGGCTAGCGGGCTACCGCTAAAGTCGAACCCTGTTTACAGACGACCTTAGTAATGGCGGAGTATTAGTTGGGTCAGAATTACTGTCTTGGGAAAGTCGTTCTGTTCAACAGCTGGCGTTATCCTCCCATCATTTCTGGGCGGGGGGTGGGGGAGGGGGCATGTTACTGTATTGTGATTTGATGCCTGGATTGGTATATAGCCTGTTTAAACGTATGATGACAACTCTGAATAAAACCTTGGCTTTACAAAAAGGGGAAAAATGTGGGCTCGGTGCGCCAACGAAAGAGGGCGCCCTTTTACCTAGCAACGACGTCCAGGGGCGGGACGTTTAGCTGGTTGACGCGCACCATTCCTTGTGTGTGACGCACGTACACCAGGGGATTTGTACTATGTACACGCAGTGGTACGGCCGGTCGTTGCAGCAAAATTGCAGTCAGGCAAGATGGTGTCGGTCGGTCACCCCCCACGTACCTTCTTTGCCGGGGAGGGGGTACTTGTGAACGGAGCGGATAGACTGGAGTTAAAGTGTAAATACGACTTAACATTCCTGCCCTCAGTCTTTTTCACAGGCATCAATTCTTTTCTGTCATAAAGGAAAATGCTGAAAAAGCTAATAAAAGTGTATTAAAAGCAATTTACATGTATGTGTAGTATTACTATTTACAAAATGTAAATCACAGCTGTTTTTAAACTATTTTTTAAAGAAGGTTTTGCCCTTCATCGACGCATAAACACTGTATACTCACTACTCAGTGTGTTACCTTCTGAGTGAAACTTGGTAAAAAATCACTCGGCTGGGACTCGAAACCACAACCTGCTTTCTAGTCTTGCCACTCGACCACCGAGCTTATGGGATTGGTTGGTTGGTTCCAATCTGATGTATATGTATAGCAGCGGGTACCACATTTAACTAACACACTGACTATACAGTGTTTTTACGTCGGCGAAGGGCAAAACCTAATATTGATTTAAATCACCCCGAAGCAAAAATTCCATCGTATAAATATTTTTTATTTATTTGTTCTGATAAAGAAGAAGCACTTTCAGTGCAAACTGATCGGGCCTATCTCATTGTTAAAGGCCCCTTTGCAGCAACAAGGGCAAACTGCCATTTTCAGTGCCTTGCGAAAGCCCTTGTACTTGAACACGTAGATGATTGGGTTCACTGCGGAATTGGAAAACGTCATCATCAAGAAAGCTTTCTCCAGCTTTGAGGGGAAATTAACGTTGCAGTCGAAATTCCTGGTGATGTCTATAATCATCTCCGGAAACCACAGCAGGATAAAAGCCACGACGATCGTCAGAAGCGTATTGATGATTTTCCCGCGCACCAGGTTGAGTTCCCGGGCCGGCCCGTCGGCGTTGTCCATTTCCAGTCGCTTGGCGTCCCTGCGGAGGCACCGCAGAATCCGCCAGTAGAACCAGAGCATCGCAATAGTTGGCAAGATGATCAGAAGTACATTAGTCAGGACGAAAAACACCTGCAGTAGAACTTGACTGCCGCACGGTTGGCTGGTGCAAATCTGCCATGTCGAGTCGTAATCGTTACTGATCATATACGGAACCTGTAAAAGTATAGAAAGCATCCACGTAAAACTGATCACGGAGTAAACATGACGCAGTCTGAACTGGTGCGCATACCTGAAGGGTCGCACAATGGCTATGTATCGTTCATAGGTCACGAGGACCAAGTGCATTACGGACGTTGTGGACGGTATCCAGACTAGAATGCGGTCGCCGAACAGCTTGCAGGCCAGGTACCCCATGAATGCGCTCTGGGCCGGGAATGATTCTCCAACGTCCAGTACGGCAGAGCTGAAGAGCACAACGTTCAAGCAGACCAGCAGATCGCACACTGCCAAGCTGACGAGGATCCTACTGGTGACGTTGTGCATGAACTTTGCCCGTACGATGCTGACAATCACCAGAAGATTGCCCACAAATCCAGCTGTGCCGATCAGGATTTCTGGCAGAGGGTCATTCCTGGAGAGTCCATCCGGCGCAGAACTTGTGGTATTCCCCATGTCCAAATCCATCGTAGACACTCCAGTATTAAGCAATACAGATATTCAAATTGCAGGTTGTAAGTCAAATTCTGGACTCACTTTTACATTGTCTCTGACAGATACAGATAACCATTGAAATAAAAAAACGCCAAAAAAGCACTTTCATTTAACAGTGTACTGTTCCTGTCTCAGAATAGCTGGACATTGACAACTGATATGTATTGCCACAGTCCAGTGACTGTTAAATATTAGCCATACACGTATATTAACTTGTTTGTGTAAAAACAGCTCTAACTTCAGCTCTGCATTTGCGGAGGTTCATGACAGCGGACTCGATGAAATCCGAGTATCAGCTTTAACGTGCGAATAGAATACGGACACTCTTGTGTTTTCTATGCGTGCATAATGCCGTGGTGCGAGTCACAAGAATTGAGGTGGGCGGGAAGCATCCTACCTCGCTTGTATTGAGGAGAAATTTGATGACTGTGCATTGATTCAGATTGCCAGTGACAGTGCTGGCTGTAATCGAACAACAGAGATACATGGGGCGCATTAAAAGTTGCCTTGCATAAAAACCTGTGTACACACATGTAAAAGTGATAAATGCTGTGATCATGGTGATGACATGACTTCAATTTGCCAGTGACAGCCCAGAACATCGGAAGTTTAACTTGATTTTGTGCACATACATGTACACACATTATGGATGACATTTACATTACACGTATTGCTGTGCGGGCATTTGATTACTATCAAGCAGAGCACACACATCAGGGATATCTGTGTACATAGTTTTGATAAATTAAAGGGAAGATACAACATTTGCAAACATCAAAAAAGGAAATGATCAAATTATCACGAAATTCCTTACTGGATTGTCAGGGAATGACAAGCTAAAGCATCCTGTAAAATCGTGGCTCCCAATGTGCTGACATTTGCAGGAAAAAAAGTATTTTTCCAATGCTGGTCAGCTGACCAGCGTTGGAAAAAACTGGCTTATTTTTAAAAACTGCTCCTACTTTTCATATTTAAGTTATTCCGCATTTTCTTTGCAATTGATTACACACCTGTGAAGACTACAAGCCTGCTAGACTGATTCTCTGACCTTACGATTCCCCAAAGTCTACAAATCGCTCTGTTTCATCTTAAGTGGGGTCAGGGAACCAGACTACAAGAACATGACTGGTTTTCTTGGTTTTTCCAGCATCCGCAAACCCAAAACGTGAAACAAGTCAGTTCAACAATATTTGCTATAACATTCTAATCCTTCAAATCCATTTATTTCTGAAAATTGCAGCAAAATTGTTGTACATTCCCTTTAAACCACATTTGATATAGTGCATTGGCTAATTGGTATCTAGCTGTGACAACAACATGTGCGCGTAGAGACTGATAAACCAGAATTGAAAGTTGTACTTTGGAATTTTACACTATAAAGGACAGAACAGTGACAAGGAAAAAACAATCCTATTTATTTATTGATTGATTTTTTACAGATGTGTACTTTAATTCATAATGTAAGTCATCACTTCCCCTTTTGTTTTCCATGATATTAAGATTTGAAAAATTCCTGTACATATAAACTGCAATGGCAGTATTCCTTTTATCTAACAAACTTAAACATTGTCATGTGGTTTGATGAAATTAAACTTCAAGGAGTGAAGAAAATACCTTGAATAAAGGAAAGCATGTTTGTAGTTTTGTTCATGCATAACAAAAATATTAAGCCCACGATTCAGCCAAGTGATTCGCAAAGTGAGGGTTGTATCTGACTGGTGATGTAATTGATATTACTGCCATTACAAAAAAACCCAATATTTTTGTGATTTTGTTAGTGCGTATTTTATTCATGACAGGAAGACAAGAATGTCTTTTAAAAAAAATATCTCATTTGCAAAGCAGATCTGTAATTCTATCCAGTTTTCTTAGACATTAAGGGTTTTTTTTTAGTTTCCAACTTCCAATTTGACTGTATCCAAAGGCCAAATTTCTTCTTTTAATTTATTTTTTAAAGAAATAAAGCCTATGATTTGGTCAAATGATTCGCAAAATGAGGGTAACTATACAGGCTGATAAAAAAAACGGAACCTTGTGCTTCCACTACCCTGAGACTCAAACCACATACCAAAGCATGGAGAATCTTTAAAGAAGGAACATAAAACCATGATTGCCCGATTCGGTCCAGTAGTTTTTGCTTTAGAGCCTATTTTGTGAAGCAAGATGGGGGTCATTTTTGTCCCGATGAATTACTAATCCGCGCCCGGAAATTTGACTTGCATTGTAATCCATCATCATCATCATCATCGGTTTTGATGCCGTTGTCCAGTCTGTTCTGGGTTGGCCTGCTTTCTCCCTATGGCTCTCCTCCACTTGGCCCTGTCCGTCCCGTCCCTCGCATTGACTCCAAGCAAGTCGCATGTCATCAGTCATAGAGCTCTGCCACGTCTTGTGCGGACGGCCGACGGGTGTGGGCCTTCCCAAGACTATGTTGGTACACCTCTTGACCCAGCTGGCATCTTCCTTTCTCTCCACGTGACCATACCACCTCAGCCTATGCCTCCTCAAAACGATACCGATCCCCTCCACTCCAACTCTCCTCCTCAACTCCTCACTCCTCACTCCTCAATTGTAATTGATAGCGGGATTGTTATCTAGTAATACCCACATGAAAGAAGTATCCTTCACAAAATATGCTCCTTGCAGCAAAAAACACTGGACCGAATCGGGATATTTTGGTATTATAATTCTTCTAAAAGGATTCTCCATCAATGGGTACAGGTGGTTTGAGTCTCAAGGTAGTGGAAGCATGCGGTTCTGTTTTTTTTTTACCATCCTGTATATCTGACACCCTAAAGAAGTGATCATGTTATTGATATTACTGCCATTATTATGGTAACGAAGTTAAGGCAGTGTGATTAGATATGGCAGTAATGTCATTGTAATAGGAATATGTCATTGCTATGGAAGTGATATTGAGGTAGTGATCATTGTTATGGTAGTGATGCCATTGGTATAGTAATGAGATCATTAATACGGAAATGCCACTATTATGCTAAAGTGGTGTTATGATAATAATGACATCATTGATGAAATAATGACATTGTATCGGTTTTTCACAGGTTTACATTGTAGCCATGAAGCAGCATCTAAGCCCTCCCGAGCCCACCAGCGACCGGGACGGTTATCATGGCAACAACGACCCCTCCGCGGACAGCCTCCTGAATCTAGTCCAACCCGAGCTGGTCTCCCTCAGCAAGTACTGGCTGGCCGCGCTACGGGACCACGCCCTGCTGGCCCTCCCGCCGGACTTCGCCAGCCAGTTACCCCAGGACGGCGGGGCCTTCTACAACTCGGATGCCATCTCCACCACCCGGCCCCACTACCAGCGGGCCTGGTCGCCTATCGTCTACGCGGCCGCCCTCTGGCTCAACAATGGCGGCTTCCAGACCATTGAGAGGAACGCTGATGGGAGCTTTGGCAGTCTGGCGGGCAGTGGGCCTGTCCTGCCGGGCATGGGGGTTCCATTGAGCATGGCAGCGGGGAAGGCCTCTGAACACTTGAAAGAGGATTACTTCCATCTCATACTAGGTAGTATTTTTTTTTATCATGCTTAGTTGAAAAGGGACAAATAATAAAATAGCTAAATTTTTTGCAGAGGCAGTATACCTGTGAATCTCAAAAGTAACTTGTGCATAGCAAAATTTGCCTGTTCTCATAAAGCTTGTGTGCCTAGCTCTAGAGCGATAATTTATTGTATTAAACATGTATGTATAATTCTACATTGTTTCTTTCTTTAGTTTATTTCATTATTATTATTTTTTAAGATGGGGTAATTCTTTGCTTTTATATACTTTTTGTGGTTTGATTCTATGTATACATTTGATCTCCTTTTCTACTTAGGCCGATTTTGTGTCTATACATGTATGTCTTGTATTTTTATAATTGGTGTACTTTCTTCACTAGTTATAAATTCGTTTTGGTAATGTTGAGTTATTGAGCCCTCTAATTCTAATATGTTTCACACAACCAATTGCAAGGGAGTAAGGGGTAATGCTGAAGTCACAAAAATATGCTAAATTTATATTTGCTGATTTAATTCGGGCAATTCACAATGTAGTGCGCCACCAAGAGTTTGCCATGGAGAGTCCATTTTTCAGGTTTACGGTCGACAAAACACGGTCCATTTGAATGAGTGTCAGAATATGTCATAGATTGGAGCAAAGCGTTCTGCCGCCTTACAGAAAACGCCATATTGATAAGAAGAAAAGAAAAGCGCAAACAGATCATCGAATCATACGCTTACGAAACTACTGACCGGAAAAAAACTAACAATTTCAAATGTCCCGCACTGCGAATTTGTCGACTATCTCCCACAATGCACTGGGAAAAATGAACTCTCCGTGGCAAACTCTTGGTGGCGCACTGCATTGTGAATTGCCTGAATTGCATGATGGGGAAAAGAAATACAAAAGAAAATCCTTGATAACCCATCTATTCTTGTACTGCTCCAAAGTGACCTGCCTTTGACATGTTCTCCCTGTGTAAGACACATTCTAACAGTGTCTGTCCACTTCTCTCCCCCAGGTGTCTGCGTGGAAGCCCTGTCCAGCCAGCGGTCAGCCGAACCCATCCAGAGTGTCCACTACTGCCTGCAGGCCGTCCAGACCCTACTGGACTCTGCCTGGCCCAGGGCTCAGCTCAGCTCCAACCCCTCGCTGGCCGTGGAGCTCCTGAACGTCATGCACCGGCTGCTGCTGACCAGGGAGACACTGAGCACTCATCTGCTGGTCACGGGGGTGGTCAAGAGGGTCATTCAGGCCATGGAGGAAAGACTGGCCGAGGAAAGCAAAGACAATGGTATGATATACAAGCAACTTGTTCCATGCAAACCCCGAAAGGATAGCAACACGCAACAAAATTGAAAAGATGTACTAAAGGCCCCCAAAAAAGTTCTCCGGTTTCTGGTATGGCGCTTACCCCAAAAGTGGTGCAGTGACACGTCTTTTTTTTAATTTTATTTTTACATTTTTTTCCATTCAAATCTTGGCTGATGACTGCAAATAGTGCTCGACTAAATTTAATGCAAAGTGTATGGGAGCCCTGAGAGGCCACATAAAGCTTATACTCGGTCGTAACCCCATCTAAAAACACATTTAAATTGTGCAGCAGCAGGATTCCAGTCAAACCAGTGAGTTTGGCAGTTTTGAGACATCAAACAATTTTTTTTAAAATTTTGCCGACGCGCATGGCTACGGCGAAATGCGCGCATACCAGAAACCGGAGACTTTTTTTTTTTGGGCTTAATACATATAGCATTCTATTTTCGAAAATGTTAGTAGTCTTCTATTTTTCTTCCCTTACAAAACTTATGTACTTTTGAATGAGACAGTGGTGAAAAAAAAAAGTTTGCACATGCTTTATACTTGTGGAATAATGTAGGGACTGTGAACCAGTCTACTCACATATAAGGCTCAGAGTGATTATTTCAAGATATTAATACATTCAACAACATTGTTCATGTGAATAAATGTCACTTAAGTGCACCATAGTTTGTTAAAGAGCAGGGGTGTGAGTGACCACCCATAAAAATAGCTGAAACAGCTGAAAAAGATGTTTAAAAGCTGAACTTTGGAAATCTCATATACCTTTGTACACAGCAAGTGAGGGAAAAAAGCTGAAATCCAAAACAAAAAATGCTGACATCAGCTCTTAAGCTGAAATTTCACACCCCTGAAAGAGGCATATTGTATTATTATTGTCATAAATAGGTGAGATCTCTGGGGCCAATCCAAGTGGCGGGGGCGGAGTCTTCCAAGAAGAGGGTGGGGAGAGCGGTGACATCGTCCCGGGCAACTCGGTAGTCTTTGCCACTCTTGAGGTCTGTCTATGCCTGCTGGTCAGGCAGCTACCAGCCCTCAACCCCACCGCCTCCAGCGCCATCATCCAGAGCTACGCCAAGAACGCCGGGTTGTCTGAGGAGGCCAGCGTGCTCATATCCACCACCGTTGCTATCATGGCCGGCCTGCCGGAGCTTTGCTCACCCACAGGTAGGGCCGTGTCTGACTTCCATAGCTATGGTTTGCAATTCGGGCGATTCACAATGCGGTGCGCCACCAAGAGTTTGCCACGGAGAGTTCAGTTTTACCAGTGCATTGTGGGAGATGGTCGACAAATACGCAGCACGGGACTTTTGAAATTGTTAGTTTTTTCTGTCAGTGGTTTCGTAAGCGTATGATTCGAGGTCTGTTTGCCCATTTCTTTTCTTGTTATCAATATGGTGTTTTTTGTAAGGCGGCAGAACGCTATGCCCCAATCTATGACATATTAGCTCAAGTTGTCTACCGACACTCATTCCGATGGGCCATGTTTTGTCGACCGTAAAGTTGAAAAATGGACTCTCCGTGGCAAACTCTTGGTGGCGAACTGCATTGTGAATCGCCCGAATTAAGCACGCGCCTGTCAAAGCTTCTGAATCCTCTTCCCAGAGATACATTTGCATGTGTAACTGCAGGCTGAATCCAAGAAATTCGGATGTGGCCTAAGATTTGGGTTTAACAAAAATATGACTTTGTCACTGGCTTTGGCTTCAGGTTTTCAGGATCTTGTGGATCTTCGGGATCTTAAGGACCTTAAGATTCTTGCCGGATCTTAGGATCTTGCGGGATCTTATGGATTGTATGGATCTTAAGGATCTGAAGGACTTCTATTTACAAGCCAAGCAAATGAAATTGCTGTAAACTTTTGCTAAGTCCCCTAAGTCTCCTTGGTGCAGAGCTGGAAACGAAACCATTTAAAAAAGTTTTATGTAACTGACATGCAGATCCTTGTCATTTGATTGGTGGAACTCACATCACGTGACATTCGTTATTGCTCCCATTTACGCTGGGGCTCAGAAAGTCCCAGTCGCCCTTGGTGAATGGGATTTACTATTCAACAGTTAGGATCATCCTTGTTCCATGGCGCGGTATTTGTGTGCAAATGCATGCTGGTGTGCCCGTTGAGAGTTGCACGTAGCGTGTATTGTTCCTAAGAGCGAGTAGCTACAGAGTTGGATTCAAACATTTTGTGAAGGTGTGGTATTCTTCCCAAGAGCCAGTAGCTACAGAGTTGGGTTCAAACATTTTGTGAAGGTGTGGTTTGGAAGACAGAAATACATTTCCCACCAATTTACAAAATTCATTTTAACTGTAAATCAAATGACAAGGACCTATAATATTGAGTGGCTTTAAATTTTGAAATGGGAGGAATATTATCGCTTGACATTTCCAATTAAAAGTCCAGATTTTACCTTGGGATAATATTCATCCCATTCCACTCTGAGCCATTCAATATTTGTATACTATTGTCTTCCAAAAATGTTTAATATTGTAAAATGTTGATGTTTTGGCCTGAGTAGAACTTTCTCAAAAGCAAAATGAGTATGGGAGCAGTGGCAATTAAGACAGAAAGGGACACCAAATAACAGATGAAACGGAAAAAGGACGGAAGGAAGTGGAGTGTAAATAGAGAAGGGATACAGTAGATTGAATTGAACACTGTTGTGTAAAGGGCCTGTCACATTACATGTATATGCGCTCTCAAAAGAGACCATACGGCGACCAAAAATATTTCATAAATTTAACATTCGCAGCGAGGACGCAAGAAAATGACAATTTTCTGTCTCAAGTTGCCAGACTGTGCTCATCTCCCGCTTACAATCCACTCAACTCGCTCTCTATGCGCCCCTGTCAAGCTCAATTACTCGATCTAGTCGCTGCGCTGTCACTGCACTCACACTACGCTCTGCTCGCTGTTGATACGTCCTAGTAGCTTGCGTCGCGCTCTCTATCCGACCAAAATACGTGACGTTACTTGCGCTGTATAAATACCACGACAAAACGGTCGATCCGCAGTCCAGTTTCAAATTTATTCGGCAAATTCATCGCAGTTGGGTTCATTTCTCATGGAGACTACATCGACTGCCTTGCGCCTAGGCTGCCTCAATGCACTTCAATGTCGCACGATTCACGTTCGCACAGTGCCGGAGTTGCGTCATTACGGCGCCCTGGCCAGAGCGCAGAGGTGTTGCGATTGTTTTGAGCATGCTCAAAAACTTAGGCGCTCATCAGAGACCATTTAGACCCTCCAGCACCCATCTGGCGACCTATGTAGTTGTTGCTGTGATCAAGTAGTTGTTGTTGCGCCCCAGCCATTTTTCAAGGACGCAGTGGGAGCGCATGTATGATCGCAGACAGTCTGACAGGGCCTTTAGTGTAGGAAAAGATCAAGGGAATAAAAGGTTGTGAATCCTTTTCTTGGCAATAAATGACAGCAGTTGGAAACACTGCTCACATGTGAGTTGGCACTTAACAAAATACTGTTAAATATGGTGCAGTTCAAAGACTTCAAAATCTTAAACTTTGTACTAAGAACAGTTTCCTTTTTTCAATTGTGTTTGTACCCTCTTTGATTTCGTAAATTTTTGCATCATTTCAGGCAGTGTATCAGTACTTCCCACAATCCTCTTCCTAACCACGGGGGTGCTGCGAGAGACAGCTGAGCCCTCCATCGACGGCAAGATTGCCCCCACGGTCTCCGCCTCGCTCCAGGCACTGCGAACCCTGACACAGTCACGACATCTCAACAACCCGGCCTGTGTCAAGGAGTGGGTCAGGTTACTGCGCAGTGCGCTGGCCACTGTGCTGGACTTTGCCAGACCAGGTGAGCAGCAGGCAATTTTTTTATCCTTGGGCAGGTGAAGACATGTTCATGAATAATCCATAATGGAGAGCAAGTACCCATAGAAAAAAATATGGGAAAATAAAATGAAAGGGTTCCTATTTCTGTTTCAAACCTAGCTTACCTGGGAGTGTCATGGCCTAGCGGTTAAGAGCACATACCAGACTCAAGCTCTGGTGTTTCAGAGGCAACAGTGACGTGGGTTTGAGCCCGGGCCCAGACACTTGTGCCATTGAGCAAGGCACTTAACCATTATTGCTTCATCTTTTGGATGGGACGTTAAGCCGATGGTCCTGTGTGTTGTATAAGGCCTAACGCACGTAAAAGAACCCAGTAACACTTATCGCTAAGAGAAGGGTTTTGCCCCGGTGTTTCTGGCCTCCTAATTATACTCCCTTGTGGTAGTCTGTAGGAGAAGAACCAACCAAGAACCATCAACTCTAGATCCATATTTACAATTATTATTCACTAGCCTTTCCACAGTAGAATTACAAACAAGTACTATTGTTACGGTTCTTGGGCATCATTCCTCCCCATAGGTTCATCAAAACTGTCAAGGGCAATAACTGTTGTGGAATTGGGTTGGGAAAAAATAAAAGAGATTTTCAGAAACAGAAAGTTTACTTTTTGTTAAAGGTAGAATACATCATTTGCAGCTATCCAACAAGTAACTGACCGAATTATTGTTGAAAAGCATACTACGTTGAAAGATAGTAAGGAAACTAAACTCCCTGTGAGATTATTCTTTCTGGCATGCTGTCATTTTGAAGAAAACAATAAAAAAAAAGGTCATTTCAAAAGATGCATCTAAAGACACATTTTTGGACATTTCCGTCAGTACTTCATTTTTAATTCGGCAAAGCCGTAAATAAATAAGTGCAAGCGTTGACACGATGCACAAGTACGTGAGGTTGCTATTCCTCAGTTGAGCGTGTGACATCCCATAGCTGCAATTGGCTGAATAAAAAATGTGTACAGGACGCTGATTTCGGGCACAATTCAAAACATGACTCGGCAACTTTTGAATTGAAATCGGGATTTCTAGAATATTGTTTTCTTGGAATATACAGCATTCACTGAGTTGACACCTCAACCAGGTTAGTTGTTAAGCACCCTTCTTTTAGATTTTGAGCATTTTTGTTGCTTCAAAACAAAAAAATAAACAAATGAAAAATGATGTACTCTACCTTTAAGTATTGACATACATGTACATGTAGATACACTTACATTTGTAAGTTTTGGTTTGAATTGTTTTGTTTGTTCCATTCAGTGCCGTATTGCCATGTAATTCACCAAAACTGGTAACTTTATTACTTGATGAATTTTATTCTGTCGTTGCAGGCAAAGACAAGACAGGTGTTGATGAGAACAGTGTTCTCTTAGCAGTTGCTGTCTTCGTCTCTTCTGCACCTACATCCGTCTCGGCCGTTCCAGGCCTCCAGTGCCAAGCCATTGAACTCTTCAAGAAGACCATGCACTCCGACGAACCATTGGTAAATCAACTTTACTTGGGGCTGACTTGTAGATCGGGGAATGCTTCTTATTTTGTGAAGTCAGCACACCCAAGAGTGTGCTCATAGATAAGCCATAATTAAAAGAGAAAGTAAAGAATGTTGCAACCTGACTCCACTTTTTTTCTGCATATTTCATCTCAATTAAGGTCAGTCATTGCAAAAATGTTGAAAAGACATGAATCCGGGACTGAGAAACATTTCCAATTCTGTTAGGAAATACTTAGAAATTTTGTTTGGCTCTCCATAGAATTTGTACGCAACTGCTTAAGTGGCGTCAGGATGCAACGTTCTTTCCAAAAAAATCAGTTTCTGAGGAAGATTTCCGCTCTCCAGATATGTACAAACACTTACGTTTTTTTTAAATTGAGGTAACAGTCATTTTCATAAATTCCAATGCTTATAGACGTCTGACTCAGAATTTTAAACTTTTCAGCTTAATTAACGCATTAGCACCTGTACAGCGGAACGTCGCTATACCGAACACAGCTATACCGAACATTCAGTTTTACCGAACATCGTCCTTGGCTCCCGATTTTTGTGCAGAAAAACCAACTGAACATTGTTGTTAAAAAATGTCAACAGAAGAGCGACAAGTGGCTATTATTTTTCCTAGGAATAGAAAAGGAATGCCACCTCAGCATCGATGTAGGTAGTAAGCTCAAAACTGTGTAATTATATTATTCAATAGCCGGCGCGTGTTTGCAGTCGTCTTTCAGTAACTACCAGGGTGTACACGTGCAGGGTGAAGTTATGAAGGGGGGTATTTATTGAAAAGTGAGTACCGGAGCACCGGCAGCTTAAAATCGCTATACCGAACGATTGCTGTTACGAGCATTTTCTGTGGATCCCGCGATGTTCGTTATAGCGGCGTTCCACTGTACTACATCGGATAACATTGTGTATGGACATACTATTTCAGGATTTCCGTTGTTCATGGACCATTTTCAATGATGCGAAAAAATAATAGATGATGTCATTACAGAACATGAACACATTTTACACTGGATATTACATTTATTGAAACTCTGATTAGGTTCATCAAGAAGAATTTAGGCAAAACAAGCAAGTCATTAAGTCTATTAAAGTGATAATACAGTGGAACACCGCTATACCGAACATTCGGCTATACCGAACATCATCCTTGGCTCCCGGTTTTAATGTACAAAACGTATCGAACATCGTTGTTGAAAAAAGTCAACAGATTAACAAAAACCTTCCAGTGGTACATGTATTAAACACTCTTTGGGCCACTTTTAATTCCCGAACATCAAACCACCCACGGTTACATCATTTTGAATGTTGAAGAACGATAGATGGCTATTATTTCCCCAAGGAATAAAAGGGAAAACCACCCGTTGCTAAAGTTTTGTGACAACTCTTTGTGCGGCGGCGGGACTGTGAGAAATGCCAGTTGAGTGACTTCACTATTGGTCTAAATAGGATACCGGCGGTTCAAAATCGCTATACTGAACGATCGTTATTACGAACACTTTCTGTGGATCCCATAATGTTCGTTATAGCGGCGTTCCACTGTAATTGTTTCCTGCAGTGGTCAGTCAACCGTAATAATCTCCCTCAAGGGAATTAAAAGTTGAGATGACAGAGTGGTGAAATCCTGGTATACATGTAGGCTCGGGCAAAAACCTGAATATGAGCTCTGTACTCTGGTTTTCACTTAAAAGAGGGTTTCACAGCATGACAGGGATGAATGGGTTAAACAACAATCCATATACAAATTACTTGTATTGTGCTCAGCTTAACATCTGCTCAAATTTGACAGATCCACGTCTGCAGTTAGTTTACATAAAGCCAATTTGGAACGTGCAGGTCAGACATCCAACTGGGGCAAATATGTGGTGATGAAATGGGCTTAAGTTAACTGAGACTTCAATGCATACCAGGCACATATTCTGAATTGATCAGAAAGAAACTCTGACAGACCACTGCCCAACAAAGTGTCTGTTATTTTTGTGTAACTGTCCAGATTTTTGATCAAAATTCTTCATTCTGTGTCTCTTTCCCCTCTACAGGTGAAACTGAAGAGTCTCCAGACCATGTGTTCCATCTTCCAGTGCAAGCACCGTGAGATTGCAACCCCGTTCATCCACGCGCTGGGGCCCAGGGTGGTGGAGTATCTCCACGGTGTAGGCAGCAACAAGCCAGACAAGGACGATGAGGTGCCGGTAGTCCTAGAGGCTATCAGAGTCCTTGAGGTGCTAGTCAGTTTGACGGAAGAAGCCCACAGTAAGTCAAAAAGGAGATCGAACTCTGTAGGAACAGTAGGTGGCGCTGTATGACCACTCACAGAAGCTCCTGTGTGCCTGATACACTGTATTCACTCTCAGGCACCATACACGTGGGTAGTTGGGGGGTACCACAATTGTAAACTTTACTTTCCCGACCGATCCCGGAAGCTCAGTGGTGAGACGTCTGCACTAGAAAGCAGGAGGTTGTGGGTTCGAGTCCCACCCTAGTGATTTTTTCCCAACTTTCACTCAGGAGGTATACAATGTTTATACGTCGGTGAAGGGCAAAACCTAATATTGATTTCCCGATTTTGTTCTCCCTTCTGTCTTTGGAAATTCCTAACCCGGTAGTGTGCATTTGTTGGGTAAAATTCTATCGACCAGCTTGTCCCCTTGTCCCTACTGTTGTCAGAACCCCATTGTTGCCATTAGGCCATGTATATGTAGATATGGAGTTGTGGGGAGCACACAACACTTTTATGATACCTTTATGGGGGACCAAAAACGTAGTGGAAACACTCGATAGCCCAAAATGTTCCAAATGTTGGAAAACTTACAATGTACCAGTAACACAGTCCCTGCCTCGGCATGCACTGGGTAAGTGATTTTCATATGAATTTACCCAAAACTGCTGTATCTCTGCATGGGTGCCGGGGGGGGGGGGGGGGGGGGGCATGGCAGCAGTGGCATTTCAGTGGTCTTCATCTCCCTCTTTCCCTGTCATGAGTGTGGGGAGGGGGGTTACTCTTGCAGAGGCCTTATGCTTTTACAACCATGCAAAGAAGTCCCATCTTCTATCAGGGGATTCAAAGCAGCCAGCACCTGATCGAAGCAGTTCACTAGAGAGGCCACTTTCCAGTTTTACAGACAACCTTGTCTAAATACTGTCCTATAGCTAATCATGTATCCTCGAATGCATACATATAGAAAGAAACGGCTGTTGTAAATTGCTGTTTACAAGTTTTACCAAACCTGAAATGTACATATCGTATGATTACTGCTCTTGTAAAATTAGATGAGATATGTCTTAGTTTGGATTGCCCAAATTTTCATTGTCCATGTAAATCCAGGGTATACCTATAAAATGCGGTTCCAGCATTGGACTTTTCAGACACAAAAGTGTCCACTGAAAACCCAACTAAAGACTTCTTGGTAGACACCATTACTCACCTGCTTGGATATCCTCCATCGAAGGCATTGACATGCCATTCCCTGTACAAGGTCACTTTTTGACTCTCCAGATTTTCATTCTCTGTCTTTCAGGGGTGCAGCTCTTGGCTCTCCTAGTACCTATCCTGATCAGTCTCCTAGTACCAACCACCATCCTACCTTCCACCTCCAGGCAGAGCCGAACCCTCCACGAACAAGCCCTGCAGAAGCTCATGAAGATCGGTCCCAACTACCCCGCGGCCTTCAAGTCCGTCATCGGCTCGGCGCCTGACCTAAAGGCCAAGCTAGAGGGCGCCATCCGTGCCAACCAGGCGGCCGTGAACAAGCAGAAGACGCAGCACGTGCAGCTCAAGCAGGTTGCGCCGGCAGCTCCCAGCATCAAACTGAAGATGGACTTCAGTAACTTCAGTGGATGAAGCTTCCACTGCCACACCAACCCCTAGAGTTGTGGCCAAGTCAATCACAAGATCAATCACATGTCTGTCAGATGTATTTATGAGTCAGTCATAGGTCAAACATTAGTCAAATCACAAATCAAATTGCAACAACTTGAAGCATAAGTGAAATCTAATGTCAAACGCAAGTCAAAACACAAGTCAACTCACAAGTCTATCACAAATCAAGGTACAAGGCAATCACAAGTATGGTCAAAAGGGGATGAACAGTGATTATTTAACCCTAACCCTGCCAGATGCAACACGTGTATCAGGTGGAAAAGCCTGGTGCACTTTGATGCATTCAGCTGTCAACGCCAGTACATGAACGGCCAGTTCTGTAACAATGAGCGCTAGTCTCACTAAACAAAGCCACAGTTGTATCCTGCTGTGTGCAGTGACCCTGGACTCTGAGGCAGTGTGGCCTTGAGACTTTTCCCCTGATGAATCTTGCTGCACTGGGCAGGCTTGTCACAAACTTAGTCAAGTCTGTATGTTGCTACGCTTGGCAGGGTTCTAGCAAACATACCCTGGAGGGTTAGGGTTAATTAAAGGTAGCGTCCATCATTTGTAATTTGGACGTTATGTTTGTTTGAAGCAACAAAACTGCTCAAAATCTGTAGAAGGGTGCTTAACAACTAACCTGATGAAGTTTCAGCTCAGTGAATGCAGTGTATTCCGAGAAAACAATATTCTAGGATCTCAATTTCAAATCAAAAGTTGCTGAGTCATGTTTTGAATTTGGCCTGAATTCAGCATCCGAGACGCGTTCTCACTGAGCCGATTGCAACCGTGCGCGCGCTTGTGCGTCGTGTCAACGCTTGCGCGCACTTCGCCGAATAAAAACAAAACTACTTAGGGAAATTTCCAACGATGCATCTTTAGACACATTGTTGGAAAGGCCTTCTTTCATTGATTTCTTTAAAACGACAGCTTGCAAAAAAGAATAATTTTACAGGGAGTTTAGTCCCATTACCATCTTCAAACCAAGTATGTTTTTCAACAATAATTGCGTCGGTTACTTTTTGGATAGCTGCAAATGATGGACTGTACCTTTAAGGACTGCTTTTGACAACTTTAATTAAATAGCTTATGCATTGACGTGACACTAAATTTACTTTGCTTGAGTCGTGATTGACTTGTAAGGACTCAAACTTCCCCCACCCAAATTTCCAAATGTAAGATAATTTGTACCGTATTGTTTAAATTGTAAGTACAGCATATATCTGTCCATTTAAAGTGGATGGTCTCATTATATAAAGAGGTGTGTTCTATTCATGTGTGTACATTTAAAAACTGTATGGAATAATTTTTTTTAATGTGATAAAATTTTTAAATTGACATAGAGTTCACCATCTTGATTTTGTAATCTGTTCATTTGCCAATCATTAAGTAGGAGGTTTATTTTAAAATTGAAGAAATGCAACAACTTTGTACTTTTTTTCCCTTGGACCCTTCCAGGGACATTATCTGTTTGTGCTATTTGCTTGGAAAGTAACTGTCAAATTTGAAAGGAATTAATCAAAGAAAAAAATGCCATTGTCACCCCTCTAGTCTAATGTGTTTTATGAAACATTTGAGAAGTAGTATCATGTTAAATCCAGCATTATAAAATTCACTGTGTGCTTTACAATAAATTAATTGAACCTTAATCAAGTGCTCGTTATTTTGAATCATGTTTTAGTTTATTTCTTTGAATTTTTTTTCTGTTGCATTTCAATAGTTAGTTGCCCTAAAAGCCAGCTACGTTGCAACTGTTTTAATGCTGTACATGTTTTTATCGCGCGTTTATTCACATGCTTATTGTACAGTCAATTAAACAAACATATATTTATGATAACATATCAGTGTAAATGAATATAAAAAGTGTATTAACCAAATCACAACTGTTGACAAGATAATTGAGTGTGTGATTATTCCGTGCCCTAGTAATTCCTAGTGATTCTAAAAACACAGTAAGAATTTTTCTTTAAAAAAGTCACTGTAGACTGAACGGAGAAACATATTTTAGATGAAATAGTAAATGCTGTTATGAGAAATCAAACGTTACTTTTGTAATCTAAAAAGTGTGAAGTTAAGTTTGCATTGCAAAACCAAAGCCCCATGTGAAGCAACATAACATAAAAAGTGTGTTGTTAAATTGTTTAAAATTACTGAAGAATTATTCTTGTACATTCCTTACTGAAGAGACGAGAGCAATAACTTAATGGCAAGATTTCAAATTCTAACATTTAGCGTTGGTTCGATACCGCATTATTGCAGAAACCTGTTCAAATCACCCTTTATTAATATTGTTACATTGAAGTTATCTGTACACCTTCAGCCTGTAACATTTATTCATTTTCGATCTTGTTACCAATGTTTAAATTTGAACCAACTCAAACTTATATTGCTAGTCTTACGGATTGCATTCTCGCGATATAGTACATTTTGCCAAAGGGATCACATACAAAAGGGGGTGGTTCATATTTGTTAATATTGTACCGTTTTTAACGAATGGGGGTTGAGGTCAGTATAGTATGCGTTTATTAGATCCTCAATATTTCACTTTAGTCTTAGGTCTATAATGCTATAACAAATAGTTAACGTATAGTTCGTTCTTGCATGGATTATTCATTCTGATTCGTTGACTCTAAATATACTGTGCATATAACAAACATTGTACACCATTTTGTGAACAAAAACAGTGTGATAATACTTACTATAATACTCTTTAATCACAAAGCTGCTGTCTTTAAATATTGACGATCATTCAGTAATGAAAAATGTTTATAATGAAGGTTAATTAGTAAGATTGAGTTTTGTTATAAGCTTGTATTTTTTTCCTCGTGCTTTTTTGATGTTTGGTGTTTTTTTTTCCTTTCCTGCATCAAATTTATATTTGAGAGGAATACTTGATTTTTAAAATTGCAATTATTTCAGTTTTTATATTTTGTACATATGCTTTGATTTATTTTGCAAAATTATATGAGTACAAGCGTTGTCAATAAATTGTGATATACTGTACAAGATCTCTGGCATGCTCAGTCTTTTTAATTGGATTTTAAAAAGCTCTAAAAATGCTAATTTACGCAATCTGAAAAATCTTGAAAGCGTTTTGTAGATATCACAAATTATATGAGCTTCCGAAAGCTTTTTTGACCAGCAGGACCAAGATATCTGACGCGGTAAACTGGCCTTTCTTCCATGAAAAAAGAAACATTTGTTAGCCCCCCCCCCCCGAAAAAAAAATTCCATTAAAAAAGCATGGTAGTAGCAAATGCTAGAAGGTGACGTAACATGCGAACTGTCTCCCCTAAAAATAAATAGACGTGAGAAGGGGGCAGTGTGCATGATTGCCGGATTTTATAAGCGTTCCCAATTACAAATATGGTACGAACCCCCACCCCCCTCCCATAGATTTTTGGATGCCTATTATTTAAAAGTGTCTTGAGAAAAACGGTCTATTCAGCACGCCACCCTGTAACAATTTCTGGATATGGGCTCTAGAACCGCGCCTGAAACTGCATAGCTAAGTAAGCTGAGATTGGAACATAGGCGACTGATGCCTGCATTGGCCTGGGGGGGGGGGAGTTTGCTCAAAGCAAACGAGAGCGAAGAAGAGGATAAGAATATACACAAATGACGTTACGCAACAGAGCACAACTACATGTATAATTGGCGAGCTGCATCAGTCGCCCGAAATCGGAAAAGACAATGTAGCACTTCAACAAATGAAACAATTTTATGAATACAGTGCATGGAATGTCTATGTTTTAAACGGTAAAGAGAATGTGACTAGTGAAATAGCCTAGCGGTTAAATTGCTGACCCGAGAGTGGGGGGTCGGGGGTTCGAATCCCGCTGGTGTCATTTTGGTTTTTAACGTACGCGTTCAGTCATTGACTATAAGAGATTTAATTTCCCGTCGTAAATCACCAACAGTACCTTAGCTTAATCGGTAAGCACTGCTGCTGGTACTGTCCGCGAGTTCCGGGTTGGCGCCTTCGTACAGGTTCAGGGCACGTACTGACCACTCGGGGGTCAGGGCTTAGGGTGCCGCCCTGTTCCTCCCTTAGCTCTTTGCTTTTACATGGTGCCTGGCCCTCCGGGGTTACATGGATGGATAGGGAAGGAAGTGTGTATTGGTCGGGGACGCCGAGACCCCGGAAGAGAACTAAGGGATCGGCTGGGGCATTGTTATGGCTCAGACCGATCCCTGAAAGCTTGACCAGCACATAACTTTTTGATTTTTTTTTAATCCTCTATCTTTTATACTTTGGTTTAGTTTGATATTTACATGGTCTACGTTCCGGCAGGGTCGTATCGTAAGTCCGACGCCGCATAGGTCCGATGCCTTTTAAGTCCGAAATTTCGGACTTATACAAGGCGTCGGACTAACGAGGCATAAATTCTGCCTCATAGGTCCGACGCCCTATTATTAACACTGTACAGGGGCGGATCCAGGAATATTCGCGGGGGAGGGGGGTGTTTCATCGGCCAAAAAATCTGAAAATGTACACAGGTTTTTTTCTCCAGACACTGGCGAGGGGGCGAGGGGGGGGGGGGGGCTTGTACCATATTTCAATAGGGGGCGCTGTTCAAATTCGACGATTATTAACACTAGATTACAGAATGGTGTACCGTATTTTGAACAAGCGGACATTATACCAGTATAAATATTTTTGGGGGGTCAGGGGGGTTCAACTTATTTTTTAGTAATTTGTATGATTTTTTTTTGGACAGAGCTGGGGGGGGTGTGACCCCCCCCCCCCCGGATCTGCGCCTGCTATATCACAGAATAGTGTGCAAATACCCCCTAATCAACTTGGCTCTGTTCGTATTTTGTGCACAGGCTGACATTATATGGTTACAGTAATAAAACTATATTAAAACGAAACAAAAGACCACTTCATGAATTAATTGCAATACAAATGCATATACTTAATGATGTGGCCATATCGAAACAAACTTTAGTTCCACCTATCAGTTGGCGTTTATATGACTACCATTACTCATGGTGCAATTTAAGAAATTGATGCGAAACACCATATCTCCAAAATAGGTTGTATAGGAATAATAGCAGTTCAGAAAAGGAATCTAAATTTCGGAACAAAACTCCAAAACAGCACGAGGAACGTATCTTTCCCAATTAAAAGATGTAATGTATGTTTCAAATATTCCTTGGTTGACTATGAGCATTCCCTACGAATACAGTAATTCGTAAAATGGCAACAAACAAAAAGAAAAAAAAAGAAAACCCCTTAACCCTTAAAACTGGAAATATAAAATTTGAAAACAAAGTCAAATGGGACACAAGAATGCACTTCATTACATGTATTGTACATCATAATACACGCGAACTTATAGGAAATCAAGCAGACTTGCCCTTTTCTGCATATCAGTGACGTAACTGACTGGTAAATTAATATTAATTTACCATTGATGACCAACTAAATGAACTTTCTGTAGCGTCAGTTTTTGTTCCCTGATGAAGAATAAAATACAAATAATTTCTTGAAGGTGTCCTGATCATTTTGTGGGAGGCCCGGACCCAGGTATAGGCGCCTAGATATCAGCTGATTGGTCGTCTAGTAATAAGTGGCACATATTTCCTTCTTTGTCTGATTGTCCTTGTTCATTTGACACCTTGAGAAACTCCAGCGGATGATGAATACAAAAGACCCGGCAAAAGCTTGGCATTGGCCACTTTTGTACGATGTTAGTGTGAATTTGATATCGGCAGGCGCGACGTCAGATCGTGCCAAAGTGAAAAGAAGAAGTTTTAGGAAATTATGACTGCATGACGATGCCGTGTTTATATGCTCTCCTAGAGGAGCATCTTTTCCCCCTTTTTTCGACCTGCTGGAATTTTAATTTTTTTTGCTATTTACGTTATCGGTGCCCATATTCATCTCCCAGGGGATGACCATTAGTTCCGCTCTGAGACATCTGCATCCAAATTATAATTGTCCATGATTCGGTATAGCTATTATGGCTTGATATTTTCAATCGTTTATGCTTTCAGCGATGCCCCTACAGTGAATCAGTCATTTCAGCCTTTTCTACTTTCCTGGCAAATCACAAATTGAGTTTGAGCGAGTCGCGTTATGATAAATAGTCATAGTCCATATGTGGGCCCTACATGTGGGCCCTACATGTACATGGTGACAAAAGTTTCGGTCCCCATTTCGTTTTATGAAGGTCAGTTGTTGATTGTAAGGTGACCCGTGTTGGCTGATCCTTTTATGTTTGTTCTCGTGATTTTTTCGATTGATCATAACAACAAAAAGGTTGGGTACTTTGCGGTGATTTATTCGGTACTTGCCAACAAGGTGGAAATACAGCTATATATGCACGTTGACACAAGTTTTCACGAGGGTATACCGCCAGTTGCATTTGAAATGTTCAGCAATTGTTCTCACTACGAGGGCCCAAACGCCTCGGAATGATTTCAGCTATGATTACTTGTTCCTCATCCTAAGTTGGTGGGGTAGTTGCTGCTTTATGTTTTATACTATGCAGTTTTGGTGTAACTTTAGAATATTAAGAAATTTGCCAACTGCTTGGTGCGTCGTTTGGAAGACATCAGCATGCTGCGCCTCTTGACGACGTCCCTTCTGATAGGAGCTATCTTTGATTTCGCCATTGCAGGTGAGTTTTTTTGGCATGGTCAAGCTTATATCGACGGAATCAGTGCAGAGCACGTGATAAAGCAAATTTTCCAAACGGATTTGGGGGGGGGGGGAGCCCCCAAGTTTTTTCTTGACCCCCACCCCTGCCCAGTATCCCTCACCCCACACGTTGTCAACGTAGAAATTAGTTCTTATTTATTTCCTTCGCCGTTAGTACAGTATAGTATAGTGTATAATATATTTTGGTTCTGTGCATACAGTTGGCCCATATATAGCATTATAACAAACTGTGGTAGACAAACACTCCCCACACAGCCTCTGATGTTTATTTCAATCAGAATATTATTGTGACTGCCCCCCCCCCCCCCTAAAAAAAAAATTCTTTGCCCCCCCCCCCCCCCACCCCCATGCTCCACTTGCAATGTAGAGTCTGGCGCCGCCACTTTCCAAAGATGGATGATCTGAATAACAGCTACACTCGACCAAAAAAGAAAGTCCCCCTTAATACTTTTTTGTCTAACACAAAAACTACTGGTCACATCTTGGTCAAATTACGACTGATCAGTACAGAAATTCCTTAGCAATCCAGCCATACTCTTTGTTTGGCCCAAAACAGTGATAAAGTGTACACAATTAGGCAATTTGTGACAAATGGTACCGAAAAAGTTGCACTTTTGTATACTGCAAGGTGAGGGTGAACCACAACATGCACGTATACAAAAGTGCAACTGTTTTCGGTATCATTAATTTTGTCATAAATTGCACAAATTTGTACATATTATCACTGTTTTGGGCCGAGTAAAGAGTAGGCCTATGGCTAGATTGCTAAGGAATTTCTGTACTGATTAGTCGTTATTTGAGCGAAAGGTGCTCAATAGTTTTTGAGTTAGGCAAAAAAGTATTTGAAGTGGGGACATTCTTTTTTGGTTGAGTGTATATCATAATGCTTTCGCTCTGCCTGGATTGGTCTATATAGGGCACGAATACAAATGGAATTTTGTTAGGCTTTGCCAAACGCACTCTGCAAAGAAATGCAACTTTGATACAGGCGATCAAAATATACTCATCTCAGTAATGCTTGATGATAATCTCGACTTGCTCTTCTAAATCTAATATTTAGAACAAAGATAACCCGTGATCGATTTTTTTCTTCAATTTAATGGATTTTTTCTCGACAAACGAATTCCTGATCAGAATCACTGACGGAAATTTCACTTTAAAACAGCTCATTTACTTTACTCACACTGTTTCAACCTGCAAAAAATATGTTCAACGTCACGGTGCGTATACGTGCGAATATAGGGAGGACAATTATCATTATGTTAAACCCGATTAATATACTTCGTGAAATAAAAAAATGTCCTACTGTCTTTTACGCCATACGAAAAAAAATACTCACTGTAAGACAGTATACCAGCAGCAGTGCTTACCGATCAAGCTAAGGTACTGTTGGTATTCTACTACGGGATATTACACATCTTATTATGATGTCCTGTAACAAATAAATGGGCTTGTTTGTTTTGCAGGCCTTTACACAGTTTTAAAAGTTGGCTTTAACTGACGCGCTCCAGTTCTGAAATTGCGCACACTATTCAGATTTTACAGAGGCCAAGTGTCCGGAAACCTGTGTACATTTTCAGATTTTTTGGCTGATGAAATCCCCCCCCCCCTGCGAAAATTCCTGGATCCGCCCTTGATGGATGAAAATATGGGGTAAAATCAGTCAAAAATGTTTATTTATTTCTCACGAAATCGATGTTTTTTGCCAAAATCTTTCAAGTAATGGGTGTTTGAGTATTGATTGGTGCTCCTCTGAATTCGAAAGGAACTTCTGCATTGTTTGGAGAAAAATCAATTTTTTAACCAAATTTTAATAAAAAAGTAAGGCTAACCCCTTGCATTTTTTTTTCAATTTTCACCAAAAACGAATTTATTTTAACTTGCTAGAAAGATGTCTAAGGGACCCTAAAACACATTCCAACTCCACTGTAGAAAGATTTCTTTTTCAAAAGAATATATGGACGAAAATATGGGGTAAAATCAGTCAAAAATGTTAATTTATTTCTCACAAAATCGATGGATTTTGCCAAAATCTTACAAATATTGGGTGTTTGAGTATTGATTAGTGCTCCTCTGACTTCCAAAGGAAGTTCTGCATTGTTTGGAGAAAAGTCAATTTTTGACAAAATTTTGATAAAAAAACAAGGCTAACCCCTTGCATTTTCTTTCAATTTTCACCAAAAAATGAAATTCCTTGAAACTTGCTAGAAAGATGCCTAAGGGACCCTACAACACATTCCAATTCCAATTTTGAAAAGATTTGCTTTTCACAAGAAAATATGGATGACAAATATGGGGTAAAATCAGTTAAAAATTATTTTTCACAAAATCGATGGTTTTTGCAAAAGTCTTCCAAATATTGGGTGTTTGAGTATTGATTAGTGCTCCTCTGACTTCGAAAGGAAGTTCTGCATTGTTTGGAGAAAAGTCAATTTTTGGCCAAATTTTGATAAAAAAAGCAAGGCTAACCCCTTGCATTTTCGTTCAATTTTGACCAGAAAATAAAAATCCTTGAAACTTGCTAGAAAAATGACTAAGGGACCTAAGAACACATTCCAATTCCAATTTTGAAAAGATTTGCTTTTCACAAGAAAATATGAATGCAAATATGGGGTAAAATCAGTCAAAAAGGTTAATTTATTTCTCACAAAATCGATGGTTCTTGCCCAAACCTTCCAAATATTGGGTGTTTGAGTATTGATTAGTGCTCCTCTGACTTCGACAAGAAGTTCTTCATTGATTGGAGAAAAGTCAATTTTTGGCCAAATTTTGATAAAAAAACAAGGCTAACCCCTTGCATTTTCTTTCAAATTTGACCAAAAAATGAAATTCCTTGAAACTTGCTAGAAAGATGCCTAAGGGACCCTAGAACACATTCCAATTCCAATTTTGAAAAGATAAGCTTTTCACAAGAAAATATGGATGAAAATATGGGGTAAAATCAGTTAAAAATTATTTCTCACAAAATAGATGGTTTTTGCCCAAACCTTCCGAATATTGGGTGTTTGAGTATTGATTAGTGCTACTTGGACTTCGAAAGGAAGTTCTGCATTGTTTTGGAGAAAAGTCAATTTTTGGCCAAATTTTGATAAAAAAGCAAGGCTAACCCCTTGCATTTTCTTTCAATTTTGACCAAAAATAAAATTCCTTGAAACTTGCTAGAAAGATGCCTAAGGGACCCCAGAACACATTCCAATTCCAATTTTGAAAAGATTTGCTTTTCACAAGAAAATATGGATGAAAATATGGGGTAAAATCAGTTAAAAATTATTTCTCACAAAATCAATGGTTTTTGCAAAAGTCTCCCAAATATTGGGTGTTTGAGTATTGATTAGTGCTCCCCTGACTTCGAAAGGAAGTTCTGCATTGTTTGGAGAAAAGTAAGTTTTGGGCCAAATTTTGATAAAAAAGCAAGGCTAACCCCTTGCATTTTCTTTCAATTTTGACCAAAAATAACACTCCTTGAAACTTGCTAAAAAGATGCCTAAGGGACCCTAGAACACATTCCAATTCCAATTTTGAAAAGATTTGCTTTTCACAAGAAAATATGGATAAAAAATATGGGGTAAAATCAGTAAAAAAATATTTCTCACAAAATCGATGGTTTTTGCAAAAGTCTTCCAAATATTGGGTGTTTGAGTATTGATTAGTGCTCCTTGGACTTCCAAAGGAAGTTCTGCATTGTTTGGAGAAAAGTCAATTTTTGGCCAAATTTTGATAAAAAAGCAAGGCTAACCCCTTGCATTTTCTTTCAATTTTGACCAAAAATAACACTCCTTGAAACTTGCTAAAAAGATGCCTAAGGGACCCTAGAACACATTCCAATTCCAATTTTGAAAAGATTTGCTTTTCACAAGAAAATATGGATGAAAAATATGGGGTAAAATCAGTAAAAAATTATTTCTCACAAAATCGATGGTTTTTGCAAAAGTCTTCCAAATATTGGGTGTTTGAGTATTGATTAGTGCTCCTCTGACTTCGAAAGGAAGTTCTGCATTGTTTGGAGAAAAGTCAATTTTTGGCCAAATTTTGATAAAAATACAAGGCTAACCCCTTGAATTTTCTTTTAATTTTGACCAAAAAATAAAATTCCTTGGAACTTGCTAGAAAAATGACTAAGGGACCTAAGAACACATTCCAACTCCAATTTTGAAAAGATTTGCTTTTCAAAAGAATATATGGATGAAAATATGAGATAAAATCAGTCAAAAATGTAAATTTATTTCTCACAAAATCGATGGTTTTTGCAAAAGTCTTCCAAATATTGGGTGTTTGAGTATTGATTAGTGCTCCTCTGACTTCGAAAGGAAGTTCTGCATTGTTTGGAGAAAAGTCAATTTTTGGCCAAATTTTGATAAAAAAGCAAGGCTAACCCCTTGCATTTTCTGTCCATTTTGACCAAAAAATAAAAATCCTTGAAACTTGCTAGAAAAATGACTTAGGGACCTTAGAACACATTCCAACTCCAATTTTGAAAAGATTTGCTTTTCACAAGAAAATATGGCTGAAAAATTTGGGGTAAAATCAATTAAAAAGGTTAATTTATTTCTCACAAAATCGATGGTTTTTGCCCAAACCTTCCAAATATTGGGTGTTTGAGTATTGATTAGTGCTCCTTGGACTTCAAAAGGAAGTTCTGCATTGTTTGGAGAAAAGTCAATTTTTGGCAAAATTTTAATGAAAAAGCAAGGCTAACCCCTTGCATTTTCTTTCAATTTTGACCAAAAAATAACAATCCTTGAAACTTGCTAGAAAGATGCCTAAGGGACCCTACAACACATTCCAATTCCAATTTTGAAAAGATTTGCTTTTCACAAGAAAATATGGATGAAAAATATGGGGTAAAATCAGTTAAAAATTATTTCTCACAAAATCGATGGTTTTTGCAAAAGTCTTTCAAATATTGGGTGTTTGAGTATTGACTAGTGCTCCTCTGACTTCGAAAGGAAGTTCTGCATT